ATCTTCACGGTATCACAAATTTCCAGAAAAGAGCCCAAATGCGCATTTGGATCTTCTGTCGGAGTTCACCCAAACTGGTTCTATTGTACCATGTGTATCAATCTTAGCTTCAGCTCGAAATTATTTGCAGCAATAGCTGGTGTGCGATACCCGAATAGTTGTCATTAACAACTGGTCTGACATAGTCCCGAATATCCTATTGTTGATTATTCTCATTAGATGCTCTTCCATCATGTTCGGCCATTGCTTCACGTTTGTCTCTGTATACCCCTTAGATGGCGAAATGTGCGTTCTGGATTAGGATCAACATGTAATAATTCCAAATTTCTCGTTTTTCGCATACACAGCTGAAATTAACAAACCAATAAACTATCAAAGATACAAATAAAATAAATAAAATTAAAATTAAATATCTAAATTAAAATAAAAGCTAATTGATAATAATTTAAGTAAAAATCAAATAAAACAATTCCCGACAACGGCGCCAAAAACTTGTCACGCGTTTTCTACAATGTGAATTATACCGCAAGTGTACGGTATTAAGTTTTGTAATATAGTAATAGAGTCAGAGTGTTGAAACCACATGGATTGTAATTTAATTTCTACCAAGTATTATAATTATTTTAGCTTTTGCTTTATCTAGACAAACTAATTTCAATTCAATATTTTTATCCTAAAATAATATGAATGTGTGATTATTCAAATGGAAAGAAAACAATTTAAAGGAGAATATCAATGCGAGAAAGCCTAGGGATTAATTTCATCACACTGTTAACAATGTTTTTCAACTTCTATAGTTACTTCAATCGATTTTTCCTGAATTCATAGGCAAGAATCACAAATTAAATTATATTCCCTCTTTCGAGTGTCGAATAAAACCTATTTCTATATTTTAATCCCAATATCTTTATTTCGAATTAATGTTATAGAAATTATAAGCACAAGATTCTTAAATGAAATAAACCTCAAATGAATTACACTTTCTCTCAAAACTTATAATTTGCTAGGTTGTGTTATTCTTAGATCACGCCTAAATTTTCCCTTCTCGAGTGCTGAAATTTAAAGTATCAAATCATTCAATTATTGATCAGATAATTGAAAGCAATGCGCAAGAATTACACAAATGAATTAATGGAACAATCAATTGAATTAACTGTAAAAGAATCCAAACATGTCTCAAAATCAATTACATCAAACCCTAAATATTAAAATTAGCTCATAATAATTAAAAATAACATATCAAATTCTGAATTAAAGAACATGGAGAAGAAAAGGATAAGAAAAACACTTTTATGCTTGAATTCTCCTCCAATCTCTTGTTGTTTTTGCTCTAGATCGACTCTCCTTCCTCTTGTCTTCTAAGCCGTCATTCTCCCCTTCAATTAAGTCTTATAACTTGTATTTATAGCCTCTTAAAATGTTAACACGGAATGAGGTTGGGTCGGGTCGAAAAAATTAAGAAAATAAGTTTTTTTTTTCTCCTCTCGGGAAGCGGCACCCAGGGCTGGCACCAGCGCTTTTGCTGGTTTTCTTACGATTTAAAGGAACCTGTTTAATGAGTTAATTTCACTCATCACCAATCAAACACAATTAATTGAAAATTACCAGAAAAATAATTCTAGGCAATTAATTCACTGTAATTCATTTTCTTTCCACCCAAATTCCACTATTGCAATCAAACGGACCCTTAGTGTACATGAGATGCATTCCACAGTGCCTTATGAATTGAACTTTCACTTACCATAGAGACAAGATTTCTATTTTGTTAAATGCTTCACAAAAATAATTATACAGATTAATTTATAGATGGGATACAGATGTACATGTAAATTTACACAGGAGACTAGCTGAAATTTTTAAAACATCTCACAAATTATTATCCATAAGTTCAACAAGTCACAATTTTTCCATTTACTCCTTCACAAAATATCTTGTTAACTATTGCAAGTTCTCGCATTCAATCCATGCACATTCATACAGCAGTATGGCAAGAGAGACAGTGAATTGAAGAAGACCAGAATGTCCAACAAGAAATTTACTAAATCCGGTCATGTAAAGTGTATATAAGCAAATCAACCAAATGTAGATACTCTGCAATTGATAATTGCCTTTATATTTTAGTTTTCTGAAATGAGCCTATTTCAGTATTTTTCTTCTTCAATTTACCAAGGCGCTAACATCGTAGCATTGCAGCCGCGGCGGACCCAACATTCGTTGAGGGGGCTCGGCCACGCGTGCTAGGCTCTGTTGGAACAGTGGCATGTAGGTTGTAGAAGGAAGAAGGAGATTGGCGAGGTTTGGCTTCCTTTTTTTTTTAGTTGGGCCTTTTGTTTGGGCTTATTCACAACTTGTTGGCCTTCGTTTTTTAATTGATCAGGCCCAACCCCAATGGCAATGATCCATCTGATTATATACCAAAATCAATTTAAAGGAAGGTTTCAAATTTCAAACCGTACATCATCCAACTTCCACGGTTCCACCGTTCCTGACACGGCGATGCCTCCACCTCCTGCTACAGCTTGCCGCTTTGGACTATGTCGACAAGTCGTCAGACCGAACGACTCGAGTCTTGGACGGTCGAAAGACTCGAAACTCCCGTCTGCTGCTTGCCGTAGTGCCGTGAGTCTTTTTCTTCTTCTTTTGTTTTGTTTTGTTTTTTGTTTATGAGTTATGACTACCTTACTTATGAATCATGATTTATGTTCTTTGAGTCAATTGGAAATTTGGCATTGAAATGAGAATTGTGAATATGTGATTTGGCATTTGGGGATTGGAGTAAATAATTTATGTTGCACTATCATTGAATTATAAATTGTAATTTATCATATGATTTTTGATTTGTGAATTAAATATTACGACCTCACTATCCATAAACGATCTCACTATTACGATCGTCAACGGTAAATGTCGACCCTAGCTGATTGCATCACTTAACCATCAATTGTCTCCAATCCCTATAATATCTAACACATAATGTAAAAAACCCTCAATAACTCATCCGTTCCTCTAAAAATACTCTTTAGATTCAGTGCAGCTCAAAAATCAAGACTTGACAAGCGCTTGGTGAACTTTTGCATAACTACTATTGAGGTGGCCCACAATAACAAGGAAAAATAAAACGAAGGTCATGTTTGAGAGCCATTAATTTCTTGTAATATATTATAGAATAGTAGATTGATGGAGAATATGTGGTTAAAATGTAAGAAAACTTTATTGATTTGTGTGTAAAATATTTTATTGTGTGAATGTGTGGAAGAGAATGGTACTACAGCAAACAATTTAAAATTTTAAAGGATGACAAACAGGAACGAAGTACGAAATGTATGAACGAAATTATAGTTACTGCGCTAGCAGTCATATTTATGGATCAAGCAAACTTTTGTATATAGGCATATAAATATAATTTTATAATAATCCCATATCTTATTTCATTTTAGAGACGAACATGTTATAGATGCATTTCTCAAATTTCCCATCCAAATTTAACAAGAAATCATGCAATATGATAAAGAAACGATTGGGGTCTCTTTCTAATCGATCAATGAAAGGGCAAATGTCTCAGAATTTGAAGACGATTGGAAGTTGGACTGTAAATTGCCGGATAAAAGTTTTGATCGTTCAAGAGAGTTCTGAAAGAGAAATTTTGGAGGGTTTATGAGAGAGAACGGGAGGAAATGTTTTATTGTGGGTGGGTGGATGAGAGAAAGAGGTGACGTGAGTGGATAGGAGAGAAAATAAGAGAAGGTGAATTTCTTGGAAAATAAAATCCGACTCTTCCTAAAGAAAATATTTTCTTTGATTTTGAAAAAAATATGATCATGTGACCAAAGTAGAAAAATGTTTTCCATGAAAAAAATGTCAATCACGTAGCATAAAAGTAGGAATTTGGGTGGAAAAAACACATTTTTCATGAATAATATTTGTGATCAAATGCACCCTAAATGTATTTATAAGCAAAAAATTTGCTTTGTTACTAAAAAAATACTTATAAGTAAAAAAAATCATTTTTATGAAAAAATTGCTTCTAAAGTAAAAATGCTATTAATAAGACAAAAAATTACTTATAAAATATAAAATTCATACATAAAAAAAATTCAGTTATTTGTAATTAAGTACTTATAAGGATAGGATTAACTTATAATTGTAAAAGCTACTTATAAGTAAAACCATCCATAAATTAAAATTTTAATTACAAGGAAATATTTCAATCAAAAGTTAATGATTAACTTATATGTAAAAATTACTTATATATAAAATATCACTTATGAGTAAAAAATATCTCATACAAGAATTATAAATTGAATGTTTCACTAAATGATGCACGCATTTACTTCATATTGTTTTTATATAAATATGAACATGTATGTAATTTGTTATTTTAATAAAATTTTAAAAATTGTCAGATAATAAACTCCTAAACAAGTGTTTGACTGTTTTAATAATCAATATTGAAAATCAACAAAATTCGGCACTTTAAAAAATCCCATACCGATATCAAAATCTCAATCAGGCCCTAAGTGTTACAATGAGCAAATGTTGAGGACCTTAAGTGCAATTAAAATGTTCTACAAAAATAAAAATTATGATAATTTTTTGTTATGGTATTAATTTAATTTTGATAATTATATTCGTTGAAATGAAGGTCTATAATCTTTGTTCATTATCATACTTGTATCCTCATCCACCCATTTCTTATCCTGATGATAGTTTTTGTATTAAAAATCATTATGAGGACATAGAAAAACATTTTTTGCCTTTTCTATTTTTAAATAAGCAAAAATACTAATAAACATAAGGGAAATTTGCATATTAATCCCCAACCTTTCAAGA